TCCTCTGAAGGGTGCTGCTTAAATTCTTTCTTCTTCCTCTCAATTTCTTGGGCCATGTTGGTGTTGTGGGGTTTTTTTAATTGTGGCACATTTTACCTGAGCTTCTAATATAGGACTTGCTAATGGTCTCCTTTTAGGCCTCTGGTGGTCTTTTTGGTGCATGATTTTCAGTGTATTTAGGTAAACTTTCAATATAAACATGCTAAGAAATATTTTAAAAAGTTAGTTGTTGGGAAAGTACATACATGGTTTTCTATTTTGTGGTATCTTGTGTCTTCTGTTCTGCCCTTCTACCAGTCCCCATTTATTTTGACTGACTTTTTTCTCTTTGGTATCAACTTACAAGCACCATCTTGGTCATACCCCATAAACTACCATCTAACTACATTTTGCAAAGCTGTGTGTGCTCCCTCCTACCATTCTGAAAGCATTTTTTGTCTTCTGCTTGCCTTTTAACATTGTCAGAACAAGAATGCAGTATTTCTTAGAAACACTGCACTAATTTTACATTTACTAGTGCATGATTGCGCATCTAAGTCAGACCTGACTCTTTTACTGGGTATTTACCTACATTTTCGTGTCTTGCAAAGTCTGTCCCTAAAGCAGGATCCCAACTTGGGTGGTAAAAAGAAACCCATATTTAATATTGGTAGTAGTATTGTAAAAGTATCTCTGTTGAAAAAGGAAGCTGAAACATTTTGGACATCTTAGCCACAGTACACAGATGAGAAAGGAAAAAGCAAGCCTGGAGAATAATTCTGTGTGGCAGAAAGAGCTTCAGTATCCTGAATGCAGTGTAATATATAGCAAATTTGTATATTGGCTTCTTTAAAAACATAGTGCTTGCATGCCAGTATTTGGATAATTTACTTTCTGAAGGAAAAAGGGAGTCTGTCTATTGCTTCTATTAAAAAAAAAAAAGTTTGTTTATGCTTTTAATATTTTGGCAATGTTCTTGTGCATAAACTTTTTTCATATTTATGTGCATAACTTCAGATAGGATGGATGGTGGTGTTTAAGTAAAAAGGACTGCATTAGTTGTTCTATCATCTAGATAAGCAGCAGCTGGGCTGGTTAGTACAGAAAGTGCTTTAGCAAACAGCTGTTTCTTATCTGAATGACAAAGGGCCAGGGTAGAGACCTTTTTTATTCTAACAAAAAAAAAAATCTTGTTTCTATCTTTATTTTAAGAGAATTGAGAGAAAAGGAGCTACGGGCAATCTGTAGCATGTGAGGTTTTATTGCATTTTTACAAATATGATCATTTATTATAGATCAGTGCTAGGACCAGAGAGGCAACTCTCTCTTTTCAGCCTGGAGAGGAGAAGGCTCAGAGTGATCTTACCAGTCTCTATAAATACCTGATGCGGGGAATAAAGATGACTGATCCAGACTCTTCTCGGGGCTGCCCAGTGCCAGGGCAAGAAACAACTGAAATACAAGGAATTTCATTAGACATGAGAAAATGTTCTTCTGAGAGGGTGGTCAACCGCTGGCACAGGTTTCCCAGAGGCGTGGAGTCTCAGTCCTTGGAGATATTCAAAACCCAACAAGGCACTGGGCAACCTGCTCTTGCTGACCTTGCTTTGAGCAAGAGGTTGGACTTGATAATCTCCAGTGGTTCCGTCCACCCTCAGCTGGTCCATGACTCTGAACCGTCACACGAAGAAGCGCTCGTGCTAGGGGCAGCTATTGGTAGGAGGTATAGAGAGGCCAGTTGCTGCCTAGCTTGCTTTGCTTTCCAGGCTTTTAATGAAGGTCAGGAATTCATACATCTTTGTATATATTACCTACTCTTTATCAGTTAATCAAATTAAATTATACTGGATAACATTGATGCCAGCTAAGGAAAGGAACTGGCATGTGTAATTCAAGCTTTTTTATTAGAAATGCATCAGGAAGAGCAAGACTTTATTTGAACTGCAACCTTGCTTTGGACTGTTGGTCTCTTTGTCTTGCCCACTGCACGGTTTTCAAATTCAGTGTAATTTTTCTTACACAAACTTTCTGGTAACAATGTAAGAAAAAGACTTTTTTTTTTTTTTGTAACAGTTGTCTAATTCCTGTCTAATTTTTGCTATTTTATAAAAGGCATTGTATCTTTTGTAAAATATTTGTGGAGTTGGCTGTCGATGCCTTTGTTTAACCCCATCTTTTGAGATGTTAATTAGAAATGGAAAAAGTTTTCCCCATGAAAATGATAAAATATGTGAATCGCTTCACAAAACACAGCCATCTAAATGCAACACTCCTATTTTTTTCTATTACGCTATTTCTTTTATTTACCTTGTACTTTACTGCATCACCAGGGGTGAATTTGTATGTATTTCTCTGATTCAGAGCTTTCTTCTTGTCAGTATCTTTCTGAAAATACTATTGAGACCTTCCTACAAATGAGTTTGAAAGTTGATGGGTTATCACATGAAGGACTGTGCGATATGGCTTACTAAAAGCTGGACACTTGTTACATGAAGTCATCAATATAGCACTGGGAGAATCAATCCCAAAGCACTTTGATATTTTCACACCTTATTTAAAGGCAGTGAAATAAAAGTTAGTTCATCATTTAATGCCTTTATCATGCAAGTTTAAGCTCTGAAGAAGTCTAATGTTGTGCCTTTTTTTTCTTAGTGTTTCAGAATTTAACATTCCTATTCTTTTTGAATTTGCCTCAGATTCCTTTATAACAGACGCTACAAATACTGTTTAATTTACTTTTTAGTAAAGCTGTCAGTTGTAATCTGCAATTTAAAAAAACTAATAAAACAAATGCTCATTTCACATTTTAAACCTTATTGAGTCTAATTCACTTGCACTGCAAGTTTATTATTCTCCTGCAGCTTGACGTGCCTCCAATTGTAATTGTGTTGACCCTCCAATGCAGTAAATCTCCCCAGTGCTTATCAAACTGGGAGAGATAAGTCTACAATTTGGAACTTCATTAAATATCTCATTTATATTAAACAGATGATGGCTTTGAACAGAAATAATAATTTTTATAGACTCTTCAACCTCCTGATCGTGGTCTCCTCAACTTTGTAATGCGGCATTTCGCAAACCTCGACCCCTCTGTGTACTGGGCGTTAACGCCAGCGCCCAAATGTCAGACGTCATTAGTCCATCGGGCTGACTTCAAAGCCTCTGCTGTGGAGGCTGTAGCTGAGTGCTTTGTGGCCCTTGAAGCAGATTTTAAAAAATCTTTCGTAGTGTACATTTCTTAGTCATCTGGGGATTGCGGGTAGAGTGATTAATAATGGGCAGCTGTTTAAAGAAGAAAAAAGAAGCAGCAAACATGTTGCTTGTTACTGTAATTCCTGAAACTATGAGCTACTCCTCTCATGCTCGTTTAGAGACCAGTCCTTGGAATAAGCGTTGCCAGTTCCCAGTGGCTTCAAAGAGTTTGCACCGTGCTCAGTATCTTGCAGTATCTGGCCCCCGCTGTATTTCAGTACATATAAAATAGGTGCCGTGGGATTTGTGTAACGACGTTGTTCTTGAGATTTAACTATACGCTTCAATATGAAGAGGCGTGTTGGTGAGAACAGCTAATGCTTTGATGCGTGAGTTCATATGATTACCCTGCAAAACGCATCTATTTTTTAATATTTGTTTATTTTTTAATGGAGCTGGATTCACTTCACCTAAACAGGTGAATTCGTTTAATGGGCTCGGCAAAACTGCGTTGGTAGCATTGGCCAGTAGCCAGCAAGGCGCTAGAGCTGAGGGGGACCGCGAGCTTCAGGGGCAGGAAGGCTGGATGGTGTGAGGGCCGGGTGACGGTGCGGGGAGCCTCTTCTCTCCGCAGGGAGCGACGGGGCACTGATAAATTGGGCGTCCGAACCGACCGGGGAGCGCACGGTGCTCGTCCTCCTCGCTCCCAGGGACTGCGCTGGCAGCGGAGCTGCCCGTGGCTAATGGCAGAGCTAAACCCAGCTAGACGATATCAAATTGTTTTCTTTCTTTGCCTCTCAGAGGCATTGCTTTCCACTGAGCTCTGATTCTCTGGGGCTCACTGAGGAAAACGCAACTTTTTCCTTTCTTTGTGAAAAAATCGGAGGGAGTCTGAGGGAGAGCAGCCGGGGTGGGGAGGTGGCAGTACGTGCAGGCTGAACCCCGTGCATGTGGCCGAGCAGCCCGTCTCCATCGCTTCTTCCACCACCTATTTCATCTGTCTTGTAATGGCCTGGGGAGGTCTGCCTGGCGTCGCGGCGGGCCCGGCAGCGCCGCGGCTGAGGGCTGGGGTTGGGGGGCACCTCAGGTCTCGCCAAGTGCTGGGTTTTGTGGCCCTGCCTGGACGCTGCGGCAGTGCCAGGGACCAGAGACGCTTCCAGACTGAGTGAAGCACGCAAGGTCTCTGTACCCTGCAGCCAGGAAAGACAGAGCAAGGAACTCATCATAAGTAGAGGAAAAAAGAAAAAAAAGTGGTTACTGTGAAGTCTGACTACTTTTTTTTTTTTTTTTACCTTTCCCTGCTAACTACAAAATATTTGAGTGTTTGCGTATTGTTTGCTAATACCTGTGGTGGGGTTTCCTGGGGGGTTCCATGGTGGTTACATTTGAAAGCGAATTGCAGCACTTCAAAAAGCGCCAGGAGCCTCATTCCAAATGGCGTTCCTGCTCCGCGCTCCTGACCGGGGCCTTGTTCTGACAGGCGGTCAGTGTGGGAAGGGTGGCCCAGCTGTCCGCCCGATAGTGCCGAAAAAAGCCAAAACTGTCTGTTTAAGTAATTATCCAACAAAGAGACACCAAAATGCACTGTGTTTTTTCACCAATTTTCTGCTGAAGGGTTTGCAGGTTGACAGGGCACCATGGGAGGTGCAGTGTAAACTGGCTTAGAAAGTTGCTCATTAAGCAGAGCTGTCGTTGCAAATTATATTTGTCCTGGGTGAGAAGTTCTAGCTCATTTGGTGCCCAGACAGGTCTAGGCCTTAGGCAAGTTGTTACAGTTCCCCCATGCTGTGAAATGGACCCCGGGCGCTAATTTTCCCGTCTCTGTGCAGTTGGAGTCACCTGGGAGCCCCTCCGGGCCAGAGCTGCCCATAGAGACTTTGCTGGATGACCGGGAACGGAGGATTTCCCACTCCCTCTACGGCGGGATCGAGGGGCTCGGCGAGTCGCCCACGAGGAATGTGGCGCTGACAAGGATAATGGGTGAGTCAAATCAGCGCTGCTAATCGGGGCGTGTTTTTATCCCTCTCTGTGATTCATCGCAGGGTGATTAATGTGTTATGTGGGAATCGGGGAACTTGGAGGTTGCACTGACTGACTTAAAATGTGCCTTAAAATTGTTCCACGCAAGCCTTCTGGATCGTTATTGTGAGAAAGTCAGTCAAATGGACTTGTAAAGTGAATTTAGTATCCTGTGGCAGGTAATAGAACAAATAACAGCAACATTTAACATGGTTTTTCAGTGTCTGATCTGGGATAATAAATTATTGGTTGGTCTAGTCTCCATGTTGAGTCTCCATTCGCATGAAAGTCAGTGACTCGTGGGAATTTATAATTACTTTCAGCATTTCTTCTCCTGTTTCAGTCACACAAAAATAAATAAGGCAAACTTGCATCCATTTATGCTGATTAGGGCATTTCATTAATTTGTTTGAATTTTTGCTTTGCAGGACACCAATTTTAAAACCTCATAACTAATTTTAAGCATCCCTTGTGTAGATTCTGTGCCATACCATCTGCATGGCCCCGGTGGATAATGAGGTTATTAGCTGTTGCTCTGCAGCAATTCAGCTTCCCATGTACAGAGCTAGGTAATAAAGATTTGCCTTGCCACAGGAGTGGTCAGATTTCCTGGCTAGGATGGGATTAGTTTGAAAGGATTTTAGAATTTGAACACAAAAAGCAACTTGATGAGAATAGCACCTGACAGAAGATGCGACAATTGCTTGCTTGAGTTGCAAGTTTTAAACATAAGACGTGGCCATTAAATCTGGGACTTGTTTTAGCGTGCTTGACACACAGAATGTGTTAGAAAATGCTGCTATAAACTTGATATGAAGCAAGGCTGAACTTAGTTTTTAATTGCTTCAGATTGATTTTCAGCCTTAGAAAATGAAAGTCCACCAGCTACGCCTTTTCCAGTCAATAGTTTGTAGATATATTTCACTCTGTTTTGGGGTTGTTGGTTTAAAAAAAAAAAAAGATCTTGTATTTTAGGGTTTGCTTTTTCTTTGTGCTAGCAGAATAACACCGCTGTTAAACTCTCTGAAAAGCCACAAATTTTCTATTTAAGATATTTCTTCAGTTAAGTCTTTTGTCTTTTTTTGTGCATTTGGGCAACAGTAATTAGAAATAAATCATATTCTGTTCTATTGCATTGCATTTTGTGCAGCTCGGAGGAAAAAATGTATACCTGAGAATCAAAGAAGCGTGAAACCTTTTTACGCAAAGTCATATGCCCTTAAAGAGAACAATTTGAAAAAAAATATTTATTTGTTGACAAATTTAAGGAGCGATAAAATAATTTGAAGTCTTTAGCACTGCTTTCCCATAGAATGGACTAGTTCTTATGGTGTCAAGGCTTTAGATAAAACATTTGCAAAGCGCTACCTTCTGCTTTTCCTATCAGTGTTGCAGAGGATTTACACATAGAGCTCACACAAGCGTTAACGAGTTGTTGCTTAAACACCTTGTCCAGTGATGGGAGAAGAAACCCTGAGAGAGGCTGTGTGCATGTGGGTCAGTAACACAGTTTACTTCCACATCAAAGGAACACAGGGCTTGCCATGCCAAATCAAACTAGTGGTTCATCAGTCTGGTATCATCATTTTAGCAGTAGCCAATAACTGATGTTTCAACAAAAGAAAAAAAAAAGTCTTTCCAAAGCTCTTAAAATCTAACACTTTTGGATACCTCTGCAATATAGACACAGGGGAAAAAATCCATCCTGCATTTTTTAAGTGTTTTATAATCTGAAGTTGATGTTTTGATTTCCTCTGAATCATCATTTTTCTGTACTGTTTTCAGAAACCAGGAACTATGTAGAAAATTGGTTGGTTGTGACTTAAATTCATTGATGCTTTAGTGGGAGCACATGGAAAATCAAATTGTGCCTGAACCTCATAGCAAATCTGATCTAGTCCAGTGTAACTGAAAACTGGTCTTGCCAGGACTGGGTTGTTCCCTTCTGCAATCATGGCAGCTTCACAGAGTTGTCATGTTTAAACCCAGGTTTTAGGTAGCAGTCAATTTTCTAATATGTTAATTTTTCTGAATTAATCAGTACCACTAAGTGTTTATAATCTTTTGTGATATTATTGCATGCATGTTTTCTTGCAGTGCCATACAACAGAGAGGTATTATTACCTGTCGGGAGAGATAGGTACAGTTGATTGTTTCGGAGTAGCTAACGTTTGCAAGACTAAATCATCTATTATGCAGTGGAATTCCTGCCCTATTAGCATTGATAATAAGAAAAAACTCAGAACTTTTTTTATTTTCTTGACAATGTGTATGTGGTGTTACAGGACTGTTCCAGAGTTTTCCTTCTCTCTTGAAAATTGGCCTAAAAATGAGAATTAGTCCTAAGAACAATCTGGCTGAGGAAGAGTGGAGGTCTGTACGTTCCCATGCTGGTCCTGACTATGAAAACAAGCCAAAAGGAGTGCTTTATGCAGTGCTGATTCCCTTGAGTGCTCTCCCCATATCGCGGAGCCCTCTGACTTACAGGCTCTCTGAATCACCTGATGTCTTTTTATTTACCCCTCAATGAATTTCACTATGTAAACTTTTAGTACTGTTAGTACCCTGTGGTGAGGAGGTCACAGTTTGATTTAATGTGTGAAGGGGTAGGTCTTTCTGCTTCTTTTGCCATTGGATAAAATTGATGGACTTTGAGTTTTCTTCCCAAGTTAAGACTATTCAAAACTGGTAATCTTAAGGTCTGGAAAATGCCTGCTCTTTTCAGTCATTGCTAAATTGGAACATAACTTTTAAGAGAGTTTTGTTTCTCTTAAATACATCTGATGTAATTTTCAGGAAAGGTATTTAAGACAATTTCCTTAGTCTTTCAATCTGTAACTGACAGCAAGAACTGGTTGTCAGAGCCTTGCTGTGAGAGTGGGAATAAAATATAAATAAAATACCCATGTTAGAACATGATTTAAATTATGTAAAATAATGTTTGCTTATTGCAAAAAGGCTACATGAATTTTTTAATGTTTCTGATAATTCTTATGTTGATGTACTTTTCTAGATGATTATTGCTATTATAGATTTTCTTATGCTTTTTCATTTGATATTTCACTGAAAATTTCTGATGGAGAGGTGATAACGCTTACTGTATTCAGGGAATGATACTTTTGGTTTTGACATGGCATTTTTTTGTTTGTACAAATTGGGTCTTCTTTTCTAAGAATTAGATGGCTATAATAAACCCTATATTTATTTTTAATATTTTCAGGTTGCATGTTGTTCTTACATTCAAAATTACAACTCTGGTATGCTGGTTTGCTTGGCTCTATGATTAGAAATTCAAGCCTCTTCTGGTACACCGTTCTTGTATATCTTCCATTTATGCTCCCGAGTTTTGCAATACGCAAATGCATAGCTGCTGTCTGTATAAGCTATTCTTGTTCAACAAACAGCGTAGTACAAAGTCCTCTTTCATCTCTTTCTTCCAGTTGCTGATACTTTTTTTATGAACACGGTGGGTTTTGTTGCTAACGGTGACTAAAAAGAAGTTATTTATCAAGGGGTACACAGAATAACAATCGCTTTCACTGAATCTGCTTTTCATGCTGAAGGATCCCCCAGAACTTCATAAAATTTGATCATTCCTACACAACAGGAAATACTTTGTTCTCTACATAAATAATCGCTTTCTTAAGGACAGAATCAGGAGGAAGTACTACTGAAAAAAACTTAGCTAGAGATGTAGAGTGTGTGTGTCAATGAAATGGACATAACCTTTTTCAAGAAGAACGCCGTTCCCCAGCCAGGAATCTCTTCAGAATGGGGTGGTCTGCTACAATGGTCTTAAAAGATCTGAGCACGCTCTTGAAATCCAAAGCCTGGATGCAGTGGAGACATTTTAGTCCTTAGACAGTCCCCAGACATTTATTCCCAATCCCACTTCTATTTAGCTTGGAAAATTAAATGATATGAGTGTCTATGGGAAATTTTGCCAAAACTCAGTATGTTGCTGGGGACAAATATGCTGTTAGTGAAAAATAAAAAAATGAAGATACGGAGTTTTAATTTGTCATTGCACAGTTCTCTGTATCCCTCCTGTAGGAAGTGTCATCACTATTATCACCATTGTCATTGCCACTATTTTCTTTTATTATTATTTATTACTCTATTTATTAATTTGGCTAATACTTCATTCTTCATCTTCACCTTGCTCAGGCAGGTTAGGAATCACTTGCCATGTCAGAGCAAGAAAGGGCCTCTACTTGTGGAAGAGGCTTGAAGTGTAACAAAATGCTCATGAGAGTCACTGATAAAGTAATACTTGGTTTTGAACAAATTGTAAGGGTGTTCAACAGACTTTTTAGAACTTCCGTTAAAGAGCAAGCAATAGCAGAAGCACAAGAACCAAGGCAGGTACAGTACCCTGACAACGCAGTGTAGTATGGGAACCAAATTATCGCAGCAAACAGATTAATCAAACTTCAGGGATTTTCAAAATTTAGAAGACCTGGAGTAATTGGGTTCTTCGTGAGTAAGCCTGTTGTTCATTTTATGTACTGTGTATGCTCAGGGGTTTTTTTGGAGCCCTCTGTGTTGGTGGTTTAATTCAGGTCCAAACTATTTTCCGGTCTATTATAAGTCTATACTATTATAGGTTTGAAGTGTTGCTGTTTGGCATATTTTTACTAAGCTGAAAGTCCTCATAAACTTGGAGACCAGCCGTTTGGTATTGGGGCTCTGAGACTTCATTTTCTGCAGAGACAGATGGGAACCCTTCTTACCCCATAGAACCTCCTTACCCCCATTTGGTATGGTCCTCAGGCTACGCTTGTTTAGGTTGGTAACTTGTTCAAGAAATTTGGGACTCATTGTCCTGAGATGAGACTCACTTGAAAGCAAGGATGTTTTCCCTTCCTTATTACACCATCCAAAATACTTTATATTATTACCTCACTGAACGAATATATGCAAAACTGGACTTGAAATGTATTCAGAGTCTAAACTTTATAGCACTTTTCTAGCCCGAGGGAAAATTATTGCCTTGGAGAAGTTTGTAGACAGCTCAAGCAATGTCTTAGATTTGTAGATCAGTCGAATATACTGATGATTACTAGGTTTGAAGTTTCTTTGATGTTTCCTTGTAATGTCCCTCACAACACGTGCAGCATTGCTTTCTCCAAGGGTATTTTCTGTCCACTTCAGCTGCTCCCTACAAAGGACATATTGAGTCCATTGCTGAGGTCTGTCTAACCATCTGCTGGAGGTGAAGCCTTTCACCTGTTTTTAGCTTTATCTGCAGTGAAAAACGTAGGCATGTCAGATGGCTTTTCTCCTTAATTCCAAAGCAACTATTAAAATGTCAGTCTTCACCCTTGTCGGATATAAAGAAGGGTAGTGAGAAGTTAAAAACGTTACTGAATTAGCGTAGCCTCTCTAATGGGAAGTTCAATCTGCCGAATGCCATAAGGTTATACCTTTTCACAATCAATTCTTTGGAGACGTTATTAACTACAGAGTTAACAGTCTTGTAGGCATTATGTTTGGAAAGAAGTACATTACCAGGCTAAACATTAACCTGTCCGTCAAAGAAGCTATTGCTGGGCAAAGAATCAGCTGTTATGCAAACTGAACACATTCATTTCAGTTTGACACTGATGAGATGTTCACCATCCTGTACCTTTTTCTTCCAGCCACTTCTTCAGCCTTCTTCAATGGTCTCTTTTGAAGCCAGTTCTCCCCTCTTTGGAGAGCTGTACAACGTGCATTATCTAATGCAGTGATGATTTTAGTTAGCTGTTTACGCATAGTGTTGTATCTGTTTGTTTGGTTGTTGTTTAGTAATTGCATGCAGAGGTAGTGATGAAACTTTTCCAGAAAAGAGCAAAAAATTCTTTTACCCTAATTCTACACAATCTTTCCATATCTGTAGTAAAAATGAAGTGTGAAAATATTTGATGTGTCCATAGAAGCAGTTTATGTTATGGAAATATAAGTATTGCTATATATTATTACTGCAGCGCATCATAGTTATAGAATAATTTACAGTTTGTTGTCAGATAACAGTTGATTAAGCACGTGTTTTTCTTCTTGTGAGATGTGACAATTTTACTAATTGTTTTAGTATGATAATACATTTCCAGGAATAAAATTCTTGTAATGTCATGATCATTCACTAGAAATAATGTTGCGTGTAATGAGAGTTAGGAACAAACTTTTTAAATGACAAATCTTTTTAGGTTGAGCATCAATATACAGGGGGAAAAAATAAAACAGATTTTATCACATAAAAAATTATGTGCAGCTAATATGAAAGAATCACACTTAATAATTAGCCATTGCCTCAGATAACTAAATAATTCTCATCCAGATTTGCAAATCTTTATTTTCCCCAAGGCAAGTTTTAGCTTAGTGTTTCTAGATACTGAAATAATCTCTGTTTATTCTAAGTTAAAATTTTAAATGGTGATAATTTTGTATTTCTACCAGTGTCCAAATAATATTATACAACCCCCACCCTTCCAACTTTGTATCTCATGCATGTATACTGAAAAACAGATTTATTCAATTTAAACCATAGTTACATTACAAAGCACTGCAAAGAAAATATTCCTTCTGATATTCTTTATAGCTTTTTAGTCTGTCTTGGTGGCATAAAGTTTTCTATCAGTTTAAAAGTTGCTCCTGCTTTTTATACAGCAGTCTGAAAATTCTTATACAGTCTTATGCGTTGAAATTACTACTGGAAAATATAATTATGTGTATATAATTATCCCTATAAAAGCAGCAGTGGTAGTGGGTTTATAATATTTATATGCACATTAAAACTGATTTTTACTTGGAAACTGTTTTACTAGTTTGTAAGAATCCTCTAAATATTAATCTTTTAAGTGCTACTCTCACAAATTAACCCAATGAAGTCTGCTACTGAACAAATAATAATGTTGAGTTTATGATGTCTCTTTCATGTATGTGATGGCTCTAATTTAAGCATTTTAACAACAGTGTTAAAACTTACTTGAATTTGATGGGAATAGAATTACATAATTTTTTTCCCAAGTTTTGCATGTGTGCCTCTAGAGTATTTTTTAAAGGAGAGAATGAAAATTTGGAATTGTTTGGTTTTAGCGGTGAGTTCTCGTCCCCTTTCACAACTCTTACCGTTGTGATGGCATTATTAAAGGGTTCCAAGTTCCCAAAAGCGGTCAAACAAGTTTCAAACCTCATGAGGGCAAGATGGATCAGGAGGAGTGATGAGCCCTGTTGGTAGCCATTGAACTCATTCTTCGTTTCTACCAAACGATGTGGTGCAAGAGAAGACCCTATCTTCTGGGACAGATGCTTTTCAGTGGTGCCCAGTGACAGGACCTGAGGCAATGGGCACAGGCGGAAACACAGGAGGTTCCCTCTGAACATCAGGAAACACTTTTTCGCTGTGAGGGTGATCGAGCACTGGCACAGGTTGCCCAGGGGTGTGATGGAGTAGGAATACTCAAAAGCCATTTGGTCAGGATCCTGGGTAACTGGCTGTAGGAGGGCGTTAGACCAGATGAGAGGTCCTTCCAGCCTCAACCCTTCTGTGATCTTCTTGTAGTACGCCGCAAGTACAACTGGCATATGTTACTGTTCATACTTCTGCTTAGGAAGATACATACAAAGTGAGACATAGTTAACTTTATTATCTGTGTTGTGTCACTCTTACCAGTAGAGTTGCATTTTGACATCACATTTTATCAGCTGTGGTTATATATTATTCAAGGCACTTTCTGCCATTATTTAGTTTTGGTTTTTTTTCTCCCTTTTATTGTTCAGGTAAATACCAGCTGTCTCCAACGGTGAACATGCCCCAAGATGACACTGTCATTATTGAAGATGACAGGCTGTCGGTACTCCCTCCTCATCTCTCTGACCAGTCATCATCCAGTTCCCATGATGATGTTGGGTTTGGCACTGTTGATGCTGGTGGATGGGCTAAAGCTGCAATTAATGAGTCAACAGACTGGTAAGAGCATGGTTTAGTGGAAGGAAAAAAGAGATGACTGCAGTTATGTCTGTAGTTTAATTTTTGGCTACTGCTAATATTCATCTTTTTTTTCTTTTTCATCACATTTAGATTTCACTGTTTTCAAACTGGTAATTGTCCCTGCTTCAGGAAGGAAGTCTGTACAGTTAATTTATTAGACTTTCTACTTCTGGTTGCAGTTTTGTGCTCTGTCAAAACACATTTGTGGAAAAGTTACTAATTGTTATTAAGACCAAATCAGTATATAGCTGTGTTAATTTGATGATTTAATATTAATCTAGTTGCCAACTGAGCTAGCTTTTGTAAAAAAAACTTTGAAGAATTTAAAGGGCTGAGTTTATGAAAGATGAAATAATAATTCCAATTGGAAATATTAATTTCTAAACATCACTGTAAATATTTCTTAGTCTATAAATAAAAGGTTTTATTTTTATATTCTAATATATATCTAGGAGCCTTTCAATACTTCTGTATACTTTCTTGATTTTCCTGATAATGGACAGTAATTTTAAAATGTGCTTAGGGGTCAAGGCAGCTCTTTGTTTTGCCCTAGTGTTAATGCTTGTGCAACAAGAGCTAGTTAAGATTTCTTTATTACACATGAAGAAATAACTTTCATATCATTGTATGATTTGTAACTATCATGCAAAGGCAGTGTACTGTAATAGTTTCACATTTAAAGCTATGGAAAGTAACTTTATGTGTTTAATCTGTAGTAAAAATAATTTCTGTAAACCTTAGGTTGACTTTCTAATTACTTTTTTTACATTTTTTATATAAGAGTCTTCATGAGAAATGCATTGAGCTCCATTATTGACTTGCTTAGGTTCCTGGCAAAGAAATACTGTTTATTGTTTAGTTAGTACAATTAATACAGATCTAAGATTTAATTTGCAAGTCCTGTAATTATCTATAGTAATAGCAAAATAAAACCCCACTCGTGTACACTGCCACTTCTTGAAGCTAGATAATTACCACAAATGGTGTGAAGTATATGAATTTTCTTATTTTTATTGTCTCTTGAGCCTGTTATGAATGTGTCAGCAAAATCTTAATAAAACAGCAATAGCACCTGCCAGCTGATATGCACCTGTCGGCTTCTTCTTTGCTTTGTATTAGTTTATTTCATCTTATGTCCAGGAATTGGGTTCTGTATTTTAAGCGCTGTTTTAATGATTGTATAAAAAGGTATTTTTTTTTCATAGCCATTTGCATTTTTTTTTTTAATGTTGCAACTCTTCCCTTTGGACAAGTCATACCTGTAATTTGGGCCCTTGAAAAGTCCATCTGTCTTTTGTAAAAGCTTTTAGAGCTGAGAATGTGAGGTGTTTAAATAGAATAGTACTCAAGGCTGCACATAATAGCTTATTGCTGAGGGAATTTTTTTAGCCGAATATGAGGAAAAACCTACAGCATAACCTAAGAGCCCGTTTGAAACCTGCAGATGTTTTTACATTTACTTCTGCGGTGTATCTTGCTATTCATAGACTTCTTGGAAAATGAAAGTAACAGTAAAGAAAATAGGGATTAGATACTGTGGAATGGATCACGCTCAAAACCTCTAAACGTGTGTCTTTATGAGAAATTGTAAAGTTCTTCAGACGCAATTGCACTTAAAAGCGTAGGTCAGTGCAGCGCCTTCTTATATAATGTATTCTATTTGTAAAAAAAGGTAAATAGCAGTAGAATTAGGTTGTTGCATTAATTTCCTGCTGCTAATGGATGAAGGAAGACTTGTAAAACGAAGGTGCATTGTATGATTTGGCTGGAAGGCACAAAAAGGGTAAAACTAAGAATATGGATGAAGGGTTATCCAAACAAGAATGGCAGCTGTTCTGAATCACAGAAGAAAATGTAAGCTTTTCCAGCCTCACAATATCTCCCTAATCCTTGATGAAAATGTTATGAAAACAAAGGGGCAATAAGACCGGATTAATAAGTGGAATTTTAATAACATTGAGGGTCAGAAGACGGTTACATTCTTTTAAGGATCAGCTGTCATTCCAGAAATCTTATTTGTTAAGTATGCTAGAATATAGTAAATTGCATTTGGCATTGCTTAATGACTTGCACTGTGTTCACCTTCTGTCTTTTATTAATGTAGTTGAAAAATATTAAAATGAGGCATTTTTAGGGGCATTAGTTCCTCCTCTGTGCTCATTGGCTTTTCTAGTTACGGACCTTCGGGGAGGGGGTTGAATACTTTTAGGCAATGTACATGTATTCAAACTCCTGTGATCAGCGCCTTCCTTAATTACTCGAACACGCTCATGTGACATTAATAATGGAAATAAAACCAGGACATGAAAATTGATGACCCTGCATAGGGCTCAGATATTGGTACTATAAAAGTGTATGAGATGTCGTGATGTCAGAGAACAAGTAATTTTTGGTGCTAAGTAGTGCCTCTAGGATGCAGGGTCCTATGCAAACACGGAGTAATAATGCCCCTCAGTGCGTGCGGAAGGTAGGTGTGACAAGGGCAGGCAAGGGAGGCAGAGAGAAAGCCCCTAAAGGCGTTGTCGGTGGAAATGCTGGGATCAGATCTCCACAATTCCCGGCTGCTGACACCGTGTCCAGACCCCACTGCTCGCTGCGGGACTGGTGGTGCCCTTTTCATGTTTTATTTAACTTCGGAGTTTTAGTCTGTTCTTAGGACTCCAAGTGGAATATATATGTGCATGCTGTATTTACATGAAAATGATATTCAGCTTTATTAGAAGCTTTATATATGCGGATCAAAGCAAGCTCAGATGAAAAACGGAGCATACAGCCAAAACAAATAGTTTTAGAAATTCACCCTTTTTGAAGAAAGTGTCACAGGATACGTTTTGTTCTGCAAGATGAAGCCGGTCATCTTTAACTAACGTGAGCTGTGTTAACAGATGTTGCTAGAGAAAATTCTCACTTAGTAAAACCACATTTTTCTGGCCTTCAGAGACAAGGCTGACTAGCAGTGAGCCAGAAACTCCTGTGTGGCCTTGGGAAGGTCATTTATGATCTGATTATGAAAGGTGCTGAAACCCTGTAAGTTCAGTTGAGTCACTCGGTGGACGTTTTCAGACTTAGGTGGTGGTTCTTCAGCTACGTGTTGCACTGCTGTAAGTGCTATAAGTGTATATTGGCCTTGTCTGTTTTATCTTTCTATCATGTGGAGATAATTTTTTCACTATTTTGTGGGAGTGTGAGGACTAAATAGTTATTTTTGTGTTCGGGCTCTGATTCATCAGAGCTCTTAAAGCATAAGCTTCAAAATGTTGCTAAATTGTGCAGACATCTCTGAAATAGTTGCAATAATTAAATGTAAAACATTATGAGCCTGAGCCAGAAACATTAAAGTCAAAAGGCACTTGACATTGACTTCATTCATATAAGCTCTGGTCCTGCTCCCACTTCAGTATTATATGCTTGTCACATGCACATACCTTATTATTTGTAAATCTGCCACTACTAGACTGAGTTTCTTCTAGGCTGCCTGGCAATGCGGATAGTGATTTTCATCCTTTATAGTACTTGATGCCTTTGGACACTTTTCCTTACCTCTTTTCACTGTTGTGCCTGATACCCAGGTGTGTCTTGATCAAAGATGCTTCTATAAATTATAGTACCTGGCATACATAAACATGTTCACGTTACATAAGTTGAAAGTATAAGTCGGTTTCTGCAGAAATTTGCTATTTGCCTGTTTCTCACTAGGTATGAGATGGGTATTATAGCTAGCCCTTAGAAAATAATTCTTTTGAAGCGTGTTACTGAACAGTAACGTATGTACACAATATTTTGAGTGTCATTTAGTCTATTTGGAGATTTCAGTGACAAAATATTTAGTTTTTTTATCTTGAAGTACAACAACAATCAAAGGGGGGATTTTGAGAGATTCTTTTCCTATTGGATAGGTAACAATAGTGCAAAATGCCCATTTTTTCAGTATTTTATGCTTTTGATTTCTTGTTGTGCCAGCTGAAGTAGAAATCTAAATTCCTTGTGCTTATCTTCAGGCTCTTATTATTACTCTCCCCTTTTCCAGGAGTAGGAGGACCTTTGTGTGAATTTCCTTTCATACTGTTTATTAGCACTAAGCATCGATTGGGCTTGGTGATCTTGAAGGTCCTTTCCAACTTAAATGATTCTATGATTCTGTGATCTAGCCATTTTTTGTTGGGTTTTACTGTTTTCAAGGTGCATTGTGGCCATTGTGACACATTGCAAGCCTAGGGTTTAGCTCACATGCCAAATTTTGCCTGCATTTCTGCAGTCATGATTCGACCAACACTTGACCAACATGAATAAATCTATCTTCATGGTGGAACGCTGGTCACTACTTGCTGAAGAGCTGACTCTCTCAGCCAAGGTCATGCAAGAAACCTGCAGAAGACACAAAAACTGAGTCCACTTACCCCCAGTTCCCATTTAGTGGTGGAACCACTATGGCAAATACTTGCTCTGTAGGGAAGTAATGGGTAAAAAAGTTTGTCTGTCATAGCCAGGGTAAAACCAGGAGATGCTGTGAAAAATTTGCGATCGATTGCACATGTGGAGAGAAATTTTAATGCACAGTCTTTAAATGAAGAAGTTTATTACAGGTCTGTGGGCTTCAGGCAGGACAATATTCTATTTATGCTTTACTAAAAACATTTTGTGATGAAGAAAAATCTGATAATTTGCTATTAACAGAATATGTTTGTTTCTCGTGAAGAAAATGGAACTGTTTTATTCTCCCTCAAATTATTCCTGTATTGGGGCTGTACATTCTGATAGTACATGTATAGTATACCAGATACGTACTTCCTTCCTCAAAACTCACAAGTGACATTCTTGACACTTTTTAACTGGAATTGCTCGATGTAGTAAACCAAATGCATCATGTGTGTAACTGACTACTTGCAGTGGTTTATTTAAAAATGTGTTCTTTATTGCTGGTAGAAATCACGTGCTAAATAAATGCTTTTCTCTGCAGAGTGAAAGGTTGCGTGATCTTGATAAATGTTCGCATGATTTTTTTCCCTTCCTACAGCACTCTTAGTCCAGATGTTGATCCAGTGCTTGCCTTCCAGCGAGAGGGTTTTGGACGCCAGAGCATGTCAGAAAAGCGTACAAAGCAATTTTCAGATGCCAGTCAGTTGGAGTTTGTTAAAACACGAAAATCCAAAAGCATGGATCTAGGTAGTGAGTGATATTTTTTCAATTATTTTATTTGAACCTGATTTTCATGTTGTAAGTACATAGATTTTGTAATTCCAAACACACTGTTTATGCGCAGTACTGCTGCACGTAATGTCTACTGGTGGGAAGTTAAAGTATTCTTAACGTGAATGGCCAAGTGGCCTCTGTATTGCTTGTACCACTTGTAAATGTCCTTACATTTAAATATCGTAGCCTTCTGGATATATGGTTATACATAAACATGAAAGTTGTTTATTGAAATGGAGGTGAAAAGTACATTTACCAATCCACACAGAATAACTGCATAAAACTGTACCACGCTGTGGTTCTGGGTAGACGGGATTATTCTCAGTTCATGATTATAATGCAATTAGCCTTAAAGATCCTTCATAGTCTCTCATTTTGTAGATGGATTTTGATTAAGATATTAAAGATGCAAGTATTTTGTTGAAGAGTTTATTCAGAATTAGAAAATGGGGCTAGTCTAACATCTGGTTGAGACCCAAGATTTAATATTTATATCAGAAGCCCTATAAAGTAGCAGCGGCTAAGACAGGCAATCTACTATAATCATTTTAACTGGTAAAACAACTGAGAATAAGTAATCACTAACAAGCCCATCTATTTTTCTGCCATTGAATTTCGATTCTGAAGTGCAGAATCTAGTAACCTTAAACAGTGAGTTTTGATTGTTTAAACACAATAAAAATCCCTACTCAGAATAATAAAATATAACAGGATTCACTCCTTTACAATGATTGTGAATATCTTAACTACAATCCCTAATTCACCAACTTCCTCAGGGGAAAGTAGGGTTGGTGGTATTGACTTGTCTTGACTAGTTGTGATGTGCTAACGTGTAAATAACATACTGTACCTGCCTGTGATGTGAACATGACTGACATTGCATGAAGGTTACTAGTTTGCTGCCATTTCTACCCAGAATGTTTGCTTACTGTTGCAGTTTATTTGCATGAAGTATGACATTGCTAAGGTCCCCTAACTTTAGAAAATATGCAAAACAGAAGGAATGTTGGATGCATGTGGGGCATGGGCACTAACTGGGCTAACCGTTATACATTTACCTTTTAACAGTAGCTGACGAGACTAAGCTCAGTACAATGGATGACCAGAAAACAGGTAAGAATTGACAGTAAGGCTGTTGCTATAGAAACCTTGGTCAAAGCAGCTTACCACAATTACAGAACTGCCAGTCAAATTGCATGAAAACATGAATATTCCAGTACTTGCATGGCTGCTTTCTATTGTTGTGAATAATCAAGTCGTACCGAAAAAGAAAATTCTCCGTGGAGATAAGAATCTAGGGTATACACTCAAGCAGGTCATACGTGTGGCTGTAGGCAGACACCTGTTTCTACACTTTGAACTCATAGATATTCACAGTTGTTTGGATTTTTTTGTCCTTTCAAGAAAATCTTGGAAAATCTCCTCCTAGCTTAAAACTCTAATGTACAGAGTGATGATGTAGAAGAGTCGAATGTTTGGCTATTACAGTGCTAACACAGTGCTTGGAAGTAATTATTTTAATTAGAAAACTGCTACCTTTGCCTTAAGTGGTCATCAGATACATGTTGTGAGTTGAGTTGAAGATTATTAGCGTGAACTGATTTGCCTTTGGAGCTGAAACCTGAGCATCGTAACAGAACAAAAGAATATGTAAATAGAATCTTTTCCACATACCATCGATTGTAACATTTCACACAATGATAATGAGAAATAGCTTTCAAAGCATATTTTTTAGTAGTAATTAAAATAATGCACCAGCTGCAATTATGAACCTTTATGATTTATTAATATAAGTTAGCTTTTGACCTTTGGAATGCTATTTTAATTAGGCTAGATCCAGAGGACACCGTAACATTACTTAGCTCTAATTAGGAACAATTCACCTTTTTAACCTGAAAATATTATTTATTTTAGCATGATTTGGGGAGTAGGTCGTTCCATGCAGAATTTACAATTAATAATTCATAACTGCGCCTTTGTTTAACCACACTTTACAACATGAGTAGGAATACTGAAAACCTGTAAGTAATCAAGTGACAAAATTAGAATTTTTATTTAAACAGCTAAAACTACTAGCTCTTAAAATGTTGCAGAATATGGCCACAGACTTGCAGCTTTACAAATTGAGAATGAGTACACAAAATTAAAATGTATGAATGTTTTGAAGGATTAAAGCCATCAGAGTGTGAATGTATGAATGGTGTTAATGGCTGCGGTGAGAATCAGTGCTTAGGAACTGCCATCACCCTGAGCATTATTCACGTAAAAAGGAGTTACAGATCAAACTCAAAATTACTGTAAATGATTTTTCATTTTCTTATTAGCCTGCCTATTTGAATGAGGTTTGATTAGAATGGTGTGAAACCTGTGTGTTTTATTAAAATATGATGCTTAGGTTTTAAAAGTGCATAGTTTTTTTGGTGTTATCAATAGAAGGTAGTATTAGTGGAGTGTAGTTTTTCTCTATGTGTGACACCTGGATTAAATTTAAAAAAAAAAAAAAGAGAGAGACAAATCAGACAACTTGGGTGAAAGAGCGTGACCGTAACCATCTGGACTAAGCAGTTACATATTTTGTGCACAGCAAGCTCAGTGGCTGGAAAAAAGGAAAAACACCTTTTACTGTACTTTTATTTATCTTGCATGCTTTTAACCAGGTTTTGTATATAAACATTGGATTTCTCCCATTACTGAAGATGGATGTGGTTGTTAAACAAACCACTTACTGTAGTTTGGCTTAAAAATCATCTGGTTCTAAGAAAAAAATGCCTCAAACGTGTGGTGAACTATGTTTTAATGAACTCTAGAAGCCAGAAAACTTCAGCATGTATTTATTTTAGAAAAAATAAAAACAAACTCTGTTACAGTCAAAGTTGGACTTAATAGTATTGGCTGAAAAGGAGAGTGTAGAACTCACCAGCCCTAGTTACTGTAATAGATTTTTAATTATTTTTCTTTCTATAGTTCACTTGAAGTGCCTAATCCTTGCAGTGTTTACAATTCGTCTTAGAGGTTAGAAGTATATTCAGTAGCGATTGAGCATGGCTCATTTATTGAGTCCTGGGCATACTAGGTGGTTATTTTTCCATGTACACATTGGGAAAATGAAAAAGAAAGGGGGAAAAAATCAAATAACAGTTATTTAAATCGTTTATTTATTTATTTTTATGCAACGATTTTTAACTAAATGGAACAAAACCAAAACTTTTTTATGCAGTTGCTTGCTCTATTCCGCCCTTCTCTCTCCAGCCAAAATGTTACTCTTTTAGTGTATGAACTGAACTAGAAATAGAAGAATTTATGAAATCTAAGGGAGCGGATGTTAGTAAATAAGTAGACTCACTGCTAATGTCCTTTAAGAAAGTGGTTAGAAAGTAGCCTTGTGCCTTTCCCCCCACGAATCGAGGGAATTTTTTGGCATCAGCTGCTGGTAGCATTTAACCTGAGAATTAATAAAAACAATGTTTCAGAAAGAAGCGGGAGTGTCATTTTAAATCATTTAAAAGAAAGTGCCGATGAAAAATGTACTTTATATATAACCTTCAAAATTAGTCACTGAAGGAAACCTCACGTATCCCCTGACACCATCCTTTTTGCCTTTGCGACTCGCCCAAGCGGCGTTGTGGCGCCGAATAAACGCTTAGGATGAGGGAGGTGGAAGCACGATGAGTTGTTGAACAGCGTCAGCGCGAGGGAAGAACAAAGGGCTTGGAGCCGGGAGCAGCACGCAGGCTTCACGCGCGCCGCGTGTGTTGCGTGTCTCGTCGGATCTGTGCGAGCGGTGAAGTTGGGCGGTGGGGGCCGTCTGTGCCGTGTGAGAGCAGATGCCCGCGCCGCC